TCTCTCTCTCTCTCTCTCTCTCTCTCATGCATATGTATACGTGCATTCCGAGTTCGAGCTGCGGTGAGAGATTACCGTGCACCCGTATAGTGAAACTTTTATGTACGGCAAAAATTCGATCGTGAAACACGTAACGAGTTTCGTAAGTATTTAATCGCGTCGAGTGCAAGCGGCAGAAAAAAGCAGGAAAACGAAGAAGGGTCTCTTGTGTTAAAGAACTATATGTATACAAAACGTCAAAGAGGAGCATGGCGCCCCAAATACTACGTTCGATGGTGGGCCATGAAAGATAAAACACGTAGCTTGCACTCGCAAAGTTCTGACGGCAAAAGAAACTTTTGCCGAGGCATAGAGGCTCTTGTTTCTCTTGTACTGCTACACATGCTCCTGCCCATGCTTTGCCGTCTCGCATAAACCACAGCTAAAATTGCAATTGCCACGTTGCCGTATTCGAAAAAACAAAATACTACAGATTCTGAAACAAATTAGAACTCGTATTCCGTTATGCGTTTAATCCGCGGAATATTGCCGAATTTTTTTTCCCGTGGCACGCGGGAAAAAAGAGAGAACATACGACGAGGAATATTATGGGCTCGATCAATCACTTCGAAACTATATCTATGTATGAAGCGGTGACTTCTGAACCAGTGGACTATTTAAAGGCGCAGCTATTGCAATTGCAAAGCAAGAACACTGAGGGCGAGCGCGACAATCCGTATGATGCACAGAATGCAGAAGTCCACGCTTTCTCTCTCTCTCTCTCTCTCTCTCTCTGCGCTGCCCTGCTCTGAGATAGCCATTGTTTTCGTGGAATTTAGCCTTTCTCGCATTTCATCAATGTCGATACCAACCGTTATATAGCCCTCCCATTGCTCGATGCTTTCGACAAAATTGTTCGCCTGGAAGCTCTCTCTCTCTCTCTCTCTCTCGCTCTCTCCCTCAACTTCGTGCAACTTATGAAAAAGAACTGCAGACACATGGTCGCTTGAAAACAGTTTTTTCATCGTATCTTATGAGCGAGTGTGCAGTAACGATTTTAAAATTATGCGAATGTTCATATACTTTTTCTCACGTGAATTCATTGTGCGAGCGCGTCACAATTATGATTAGCTCAATCTTATACCTTGTAAGTAGGTATCTAAGGCCAGCGATCTTTCTCTCTTTCTCTATCTACGTCTCGTAATAATTTTTTTCCCACGTTGACACATCGAGTCATCAAGCTACCCTATTTAACAAAATTATTCTGTCGTAATGTGCACGCTAGAGGAAATAAAAAGTACATGGCGTTGTCCGTAAAATATATTATCATTGTCATTCATCGCAATAAGAAAAGTACATCGTATATAATTAACTGCGTACGCCCGCAAGGTGGTGCGGTAAAAGAAATTAAAAAAAAATAAGTATCGAATAACGAACGGCTCCGTAGGAGAGAAAAATTTATCGAACACTGAAGACGTGCGTGCATGTGTGTGCGTGCGTGCGTGTACGTGAATGTGTGTGAATTATGCAGTAACAACATCCGTGATAAATACGAAGCACTTCTGGTAGTGGGAAAAAAAATCACAGCAATAAACATTGCCGCGGCGAGGCAGCAGCAGCAGGGTTGGCCGAATTTATCCGAGCCACTAAATTTTGATCTCCGCGCTTCTTATTTCGTCAGACACCCGGGGAAAACCTTATTTGTCTGACGTAATACCTTTTTGACCTTGTCACAAGATCGCCTAGGAAAGTTCGTTAGCAATTCCCCGGAAAATTGAATTCATGGAAATATATCTTGCGAAGGAGATGAGCAGCTTAATTAATGAAGGCAAATGGAATTGCAGCACACGATCAGTTTCACGCGTTTATACCGACACGGGCTGGAATCGTCTTTATTTTTTGTTACTGCTGTGTGCTTGATTTAGCTATGCGATCTGCTGCTACTGCCGCTACAGTTACTGTCACTGTTACTATAGGGTTGACGTCACCGAAAATATAGCCGTTGGCGTGCGAGATTCTCTGGCTTTCCCTTACTTTGCGCGCACTCGGTTTCTTTGATTTTTCCTGCCGGTCGTATGAGATATGTGCTGCTGAAAATGTGCCAACGCATCGTTTCTCATCCACTTTTTCCCCCTCTTCTCTTTCGAATTTATCTTGTTTTCCTCACCACAGCCCTTCCTGCACTTCATTTGAATGAAAATTCCTCTTCGGCAATTCATTTTGTTACATCAGCTTACTCGCATTTCCAATGAGAAAGCACATTTTTCAACTAGCTAACAATAATTTACTGGAATGATCATGCCATCGATTTATTGCGATCAATTTGCTTTTTCATCTAATTCAAATGAAGATCATTGTTCGTGGAATGTAGTCGGTGTTTAATCAATTGGAACCTAGTAAAATCTACGGTTTGGCAGTGGAATCAGCAGAGAAATATTAGAATTTTACGTGAACGCACGAGTAAAAGTGAAACGAACGCACGCAGTTCTTTTAACAAAAGCATAAACCGTTTCGCCCATCTTCGTTCTTTCAGTATCGTGAGAGAAAAAAAGGGATCTCATCATTGCGCGACTTGCAGCAACACAGGCACATAACAAGCGCGAGTGCACGCTCCGGCGGCAGACACAAACTTGAAAATACAAGAGGCGTATTTCTTATTACGGTGGCGCGTGTCTAATGTCTCTCTGCTACCACTACGACTCGTCGTCCATTTACTCTTGTATCTTGTACCTCGCCTCTCTGACACTTCTTCTTTTTCTCCTTCTCTCTCGTTTCTTTCTTTCTTTCTCTTTTTTACGAGCTCTTCCGCCCGGTTTATTTTATTTGCCGAGTACTCGGCGTCTTATCCGTTCCCCTGGGTGTTCTTTCACAGGTTATCTTTTTTCGCTGTTGTATATGTACCGTGCACTTCTGCTTCCGCACGGGGAGCAGATGCTGAACTAGGAATGTTTCTGCGAGAGACAGACAGACGGAAAATGTTTCGTCAAATAGCTCGAGACGGATGCGAGCTGCTTCTCTTTTTGTTATTGATACTTGGATTTGCGAATGCCGAGTCTTCGTGTGAAGACGCTCGTCCGAGTGTAAATGTAGCTCGGGACTATTTCCGGTGAACTTGCACACGAAACTTTCAAGATATATTTTCAATGCAAGCTCTAATTCCAGTCAAGGCCGTAGCTAGAATGAAAAATGAAGTTAACTCTCGAGCAAAGAGGCCATTTTGTCAGAGGCAGTCTCATCCCGTCGTGTAGTACAAGAAGGAGCGACGGCACCAGCAGGGACAATCTGTTAACGCCTATTTTATGAGCGTGCTCGTAGCACTATAGCCTCGACTTAATTAATAATCCAATTTATTTTCTCCGGTGCGCTCTCTCTCTCTCTCTCTCTCTCTCTCTCTCTCTCTCTCTCTCTCTCTCTCTCTCTCTCTCTCTCTCTCTCTCTCTCTCTCTCTCTCTCTCTCTCTCTCTCTCTCTCTCTCCTCTCTCTCTCTCTCTCTCTCTCTCTCTCTCTCTCTCCACCGTAATTTCTGCCTCTCGCGAGTCTGCTTCACTTTATTCAGAGCGTGCACGACATGAGCGTTTCGGCGCGCACAACGCGCGTTCGAACAAGTCTACTGCCGCTGCCATGTGCCCGAATAGTTGAACCGGGCTTTAGTTTGCGCGCGCGCAAGTCGATAATAATGGTGAGCCCCGTGTTTAAATATTCGACCAAATTGAATTGCGTACGTTCAATTTTTTTTCCGGAAGATAAAGCATTGCGAACAGGTGGTGGTTTGACAAACGAACTGCAGACAGACTTGACGAGCAATTGCTACGACGGAACGAAGTTGGAGGAGACACGATCGAGACGTACCGCCAAGAGAGAGAGAGAGAGAGAGAGAGAGAGGAAATGCCAGCGAGAGTAATATGTTAAAAGTGGTATATCGGTAGCTGCCCTTATTTTATTTTATTTTTTCTCTTTGTTCCTACTGAATTTCTCATGTCTAACGAGAGAGGACAAAACAACTTTATTTTACTTCAAAACTATTGTGTAATGCTTTCGATGATTTTTACTCGTTCAAAAATTTAGGGTCTTCAGAAGATTACTACTGCAGATGCAATGAGAACTTATCGAACCTGCATTAAAAAACGTAGTTAAAAGTTGTAAATCTTTTGCTTTTTATTTACTGAAAAATTAATCGTTTCATTGCGATATTTCTGCTTGGTGTCAATTAAAAGTTGTTTTACTGTAATTGAAGAGAAAAGAAACAAAATGTCCTTCCATATCGACTCAACTATTTTGTAATCGGAAAAAATGTATCGGTTTGAAATTTTTTTCCAGATTGCGTGATAAAAAAAAAGTCCTTGGAAAAACTAGTAGCAGCTTGAACGAATATGAGATGTCTGAGTATAAGCATTTACTTTTCCTGCCTCTTGCTCGTGCGCGTGAAAAGAAAGTTTATACTTGAACCCGACGAAATTAAAAGTCGTATCAAAGAAAATACAATAACCATGTATAACTCCGCTATCTCAATGAAAAGTTCTCATATAAAACTTTGATGTTTACGCTCCGAGTCATTTTAAAAGCTCTCGGTTTTTCCATCATTAACGCCTTCTATTTCTTTAAAAATTTCTGAAACAAAGTACACAGCAAATTTCGATCCCGTCTCGCTAAAAACTGAATTCACTGTTTTCAAAGAAGCCACAGAATAAAAAAATAAAGTGCTATAGCGAATAACCGATGAATCATCATCATCCACCAGCACAAAGCCGGTTGCCATCCCTCGCCAGCTCATATAGTCCTGACAGTGTACGATCGGCATGCGCGCGCGCGCGTGAGAAGGGCTGTAGCCGGTGGCGGTGGTGGTGGGGACGCAGAGGCAGGAAGGCAGGCAGCCGAGAGCCAGCGAGGTTGAGGTCGCATTGATTTTGTCTAGACAGGGTGGAGACTAGACAACTCGCCGATATCGCTTTGTCGAATGAAGTAAAAAAGAAAAGCTCATTGTTGCTGAACAAAACGGATACGCTGTGTTGTGAAATTCAGTGTCGCTCGTCGAATCGGCGAAGTTCGTCAATGTGTTTTAGGCGATCAGTTATTCAGTGATGTCGACTCGAACGAACTGTCAGTGTGAATTCGATCGATTGTATACAAAAATCGTATAAATTGTCGTGAAAAGGTCGCGTATTTTCGGAGACTGGATTTGCGACGAGAAGCCACGCGTGGGCGTTCACCGGCCGGCGTCGTTGTCGATGCAGCAGCGCGCCGCTATGTAGGCAACTTGCACTCTTCTCGAGCGATGAGTCGTTTAGGCTGAATTGAATTACGCGTCGTATCGTATATCTGCAACTTACAAAAAAGGGGAGCCAAATGCGCTCTCGACAACGCCCAAGCCAACAGCTGTACGCCCTAACCAAGCTCAAGGGATGCTGCTGTCGGCGTCGATAAATTTGGCCGCCTTAGCGACGTGAGTTTTCCATATAATTCGCCGTTTTTTTTTTTATTTAACAACAAGTTTTTTTTTACTAGCATGAACGTTAATCAAAATTTACTTCATATGTACATTAAGTGGGTTACTTTGATGAAATGTTTGTTAAATATCTCGCCGACGTAGTCACCAATATAAATTATGCTTACACACTCGTAAGGTCTATATTAGCGCAGAGTATCACTTGTTTTTTTACGACACCGTAAACAAAATTTTTGTTTCCCTCTTTATGAAAATTGAATAAAGCGCACATAATGCGTTAAAAATGGTGCTTTGCCATATAACGCGTATCGATTTTTTATATGGCTTCCGCGTGTGCGGCGCGCTATATACGTAGTGTCACGTTTAATGAAACAAAAGAAAAAGCGAAAGAAGCAACATTATCGCTCGTACGTTGACCCCCTCTGCTGCTTCCTTTATGGATTTTTCAAAAGTTTACGCAAGCACTTTGAAAGAAAAGGGCAGATTGCGATTGAAAAGAAATGCGATGGGCGAAGACATCTCGGAATGAGAAAATTTTACGAATCATTGTTCCCTCGACTCTGTTCCAGTCAATCGGATATACCTTCCTCGCGGTGATGCGGCGAAGCCGCTGCCGCCGCATCTCATCTGGAATTCTCAGGCCGTATGAAGAAGCGGCCTTCCGCTCGACACGCGCGCTCAACTATTTCAATCGCATCGCCCGATAAATCCGTCCTCCAAAGCTTCATCTCTCAGTCTTCCGAATGGGAAAAAGAAAGGCAAAGTTTCCCAGGCACAGAAGGGCTCACAAGTTTCACGAGCGGCAGAAGCTTGTGGAAACTTACTTTAATTAAAGTTTTTGCGTGTTCGAAATCGCATAATTAACGCTCGACCTCAAGCTGCCGGCAAAATGCGTAATTATCGACCCACAGACTATAGCGCTGCGTTGCCCTTTCGCGATAGTCAACCTCGAATTAATCCAATTTGCGTTGCCAGCCGAGCTCGTAGTTCTATCTGGACGCGAGTCCTTGCTGTTAACCACTTTTGGCCCTTCGCATATAGGGTCGTCTTCCTTGTATGATCAATCGGCTTTTCACAAGGGGTTCGCACTCTTGCAAGTGGATATCTTGATTTATCCAATTGTTCCTGAACAACATAGACGCATACTTATGATCTTACTTTGATCGGTTGTATTATATGGTCTTACTTTGATCGGTTGTATTGTAATGCACTCGTAGTTTTATGTATTCGTAACATTTTTTTAATCACCAGTTGATAACTAACTTATTAATATATTGTTACAGCAACACCTTCCACTCCAGTGATGCCGGGTGGAACGCCAGGGACGCCTTCATCCAAAGCGAAGGTGTGTATTTGTAGATCATAACAAAGAGTTTGGTATATCTCATATTTTGACACACGAATACCAAAAATATGCAATACTATATTTATTTGTAAATGTTGAATATACTCGCCTTTTTGTCCTTTATTGAAAAAATCTAGCTCTTTTCGGGTCGATTAAGAACTCAATATTTACAACTGCGAGTGCTCAACTACGTCTCTAACAACTTAATTCGAATTCGGATTCAATAGAGCTTCGTCCAATAATATATTGCTTGAAAAAGCTCTCGGTGTATCAGTTGGAATAAAAAAAAATCCACCACTCATTCGAGATGTTTTTTATGTCAATATAGGAGAAGCTGATGATACGCAACAAAGTAGTCGTCGCTCTATATCCTTTCCGAGCTATCGAAGGTGGCGATCTGTCTCTCGAGAAGGTAAGAGCCTTCATGAGTGTTTCAATGAAACATCTATCTATATAGCCTAATAGGATCGTATCGTTAATTGCTTCACTGACCTGCCGAGTATTGCTCCGGTTGCTCGCATTCAATACCAACCATTCGAAATGGCAGATGTCGAAAGCCTTTTCAGTTCATATCAATCTCCACATATATGGGGATATGTCGTTGAATATTTCTCGTACTACCCCATTAATTGGTATATTTATGAATTCGGATTGGGTGACATGGTGAGATCAATTCGACGTATATATTTATTCATATCAAACAGAAAAAAAAACAACGGCTTTATTTTAAATGCTAATTGATGCAACTCGCGCTCGTTGAAGCAATTATAGTAATAAATAATTTATGCATCAATGACGAGATTGAATGGTAATTTTTCATTCAGGGAGCAGAGTATGAGGTGCTCGATGATTCACAGGAACACTGGTGGAAAGTCAAAGATGAGCACGGGTAAATAATCGATTTGAGCGTTTTATTTTATCAGTGTTAGCAGCTGCAGCTGATTACATAGTTGTCTTCTGCTTTTAGATCAATCGGCTACATTCCCAGCAATTACGTGAAAGAGAAAGAGCTGCTCGGTTTACAAAAATATGAGTGAGTATCGAGCCAATGTGAAAGTTGAATGTTATGAATAATCCTTCATAATCTAAATCACTCTTAGGTGGTACGTGGGAGATATGTCAAGGCAACGCGCTGAATCTCTTCTCAAGCAAGAAGATAAGGAAGGCTGCTTTGTTGTTCGTAATTCATCTACAAAGGGCATGTATACCTTGTCCCTCTACACAAAAGTGTAAGTATCTTCAAATATTTGTTATGCGGGTTATCTACTTTCGAGATATTGTGCTTACGTTTTTCGATCTTAACAATGCGAGATTCAAAAGTTGAAGCAACTTTTGACGAACAAAAGAACGAGTTACTCTTACGTAATAATGGAACGGCATTGTCTGAAGCTTAACGAATGAAAATAATATTGCAGCCCTCACCCTCACGTGAAACATTATCACATCAAGCAGAATCAGCGAGGTGAATTCTACCTCTCGGAGAAACATTGTTGCGGCTCGATTCCAGACCTCGTTAATTACCACCGTCACAACAGCGGCGGACTGGCTAGCAGACTTAAGGCCAGTCCATGTGATCGTCCCGTTCCACCGACTGCCGGCCTTAGCCATGGTAAGCTTGCCATTTCCCTTATCCTACTCCTTTTTTTACATTTTCCGTATGCTCATGAAACACTCGTTCTATTCGAGTACGAGAAGTAAAGACGAACAGTTTGCTCGTCATTAGACACGTTAGGACTGCTTGTTGACAATGACGCGCAATTTGTTTTTCAGATAAATGGGAAATCGATCCAGCAGAGCTGCACTTGCTGGAAGAGCTTGGATCTGGTCAATTTGGCGTAGTGCGTCGAGGAAAATGGCGTGGCTCTATCGACGTCGCCGTGAAGATGATGAAGGAGGGCACCATGTCCGAGGATGATTTTATCGAAGAAGCTAAAGTCATGACGTATGACAAACTTTTTATCTACCAATTATATATACAATTTTGAATGAAAATCACTATTTTATACCATTCATTCTACTGATACAGGAAATTGCAACATCAGAATCTAGTTCAGCTGTACGGTGTGTGCAGTAAAGATAGGCCTATCTACATTGTAACAGAGTACATGCGTCACGGATCTCTACTGAACTACCTCCGTCGTCATGAAGCTACACTTGGATCGAACGTGGGACTGCTTTTAGATATGTGCATACAGGTAACTAACGCGACATATTATATATGTTCAAGATACTTTTAATCTGTAATTTTATTATTTATTAATAACGAATATTTGTTATCAAAAAATAAAAAAAAGAATTAAGTCAAATAAAAAATTGTTAACCTTTAATCGTTCTTATTGTAGGTTTGCAAAGGAATGGCGTATCTGGAAAGGCATAATTATATTCACAGGGATTTAGCTGCTCGCAATTGTCTCGTTGGCTCAGAAAATGTCGTCAAAGTAGCAGATTTCGGTCTAGCTAGGTAATTGAAAAAAAAAGAAAATTTGTTTATCTTGGATACGTGGTTTCCTAACGTAAAATTACTATTCTAGGTATGTATTGGACGATCAATATACCAGCAGCGGTGGAACGAAGTTTCCAATAAAATGGGCTCCTCCCGAGGTCTTGAATTACACCCGATTCAGCTCAAAATCCGATGTTTGGGCTTATGGAGTACTCATGTGGGAAGTATTCACATGTGGTAAGATGCCGTACGGACGTCTAAAGAATACCGAAGTCGTCGAGCGTGTTCAACGTGGAATTATTCTGGAGAAACCGAAGGCTTGCTTCAAAGAGGTTTACGAGGTCAGTGAATTTCGAATATTCAATTCACAAGTGTTTTTCCTTTAGTCAAGTTATTTTAAAATTCACCGACTAATAAACATTTTTTATAAATTACTATCACAAATAAATGTTAATATTCAGCAAATATTGAAAAAAGTATGGATGAGAAATAAACGTATAAACATAACATTTTTTTCACCCTTATCATATCTTAATATGACGTTGTTCATAAATGAATACAAAACTATAAGCACAAAACGTAGAAGTTTATTAAATCGTCCTATGTGTTTGTTTAGACAAGTATGAAAAAAATAAGTGTATTTTTCAGGTGATGAGGAAATGCTGGGCCCACTGCCCAGAAGTCAGACCGTCTTTCCGTGCGTTAAAAGATCAGCTGCTCAACGTATCTCAAGGTCTGCTCAATGATTGACTCAGTCTCCTGCGGTGCTTACGTTTTTCCTCGCCGACCTCGACCGGCAGCGGGCGCACCTCCATTAGTACCATCACCAGTACGACCAGTACCACCAGTACCACCACCAGTATCCCACGCTCACCCTTCCTTGAGCGTAGCAGTCTGCCCTCGTCCAACAGCTCCACCTCCTACAACTCGGCCACCCTGCCTGCCTCGCACCGCATTCGAAGCAACGCCTCACTTCCAAGCGCCGCCGAACTCTTGCAGCTCTCCTCGACTCTCTGTCGCGTCGCTAAGAATCGACAATCACGGCACGACAAAGACAAAAGCTCGAAAATCAAACCCAAGAGAGAAATGAGCGCTACCAGTCTCAGTCCGGTGAGGTTCAACGACGATAATCTAACAGAGCACCAACAGCAGCCGCCGCAGCAACAATCACCGCAACAACAGCAGCAGCATCTCAGTACGACATCTAGCTCGTCCAGCGTCTGCGATATTTGTAGTTCCTACGGGCATCCGTGGATCGAGATTTGCAAGGCCATCCGAGCCACTAAGGGCAATTGATTTAAAGGAAGACGTGCCGAAATTTCATTGACGTGACGATTCAATTAGTACGTCTATACGAAATTTTCTCTCTTTTTAGCTCGAGTGATATGGTTAGACAAGGGTTGCTAGTAGAATGGTTTAGGACCATTTTATATGTAGCATGAGTAAAGCAGTGTGTTTATTATATTGGTTCGATATGAACTGAAACATATGCGACGACTTGCGTTTGTTCGAAGTATATTACGTTCATTATTTCCATTGTTTTATTGCTCAAAGTGACTGCCACAAGTTAAATCATTTTTAATCAATGTTTAATCATTATTTTGTATTGTTTTTGTCGTTATTATCCAATTTTTATATATTTAGAAATAGCATAGTTAAGAACTATGCTAGTCTTTCGTTACTGTGACGTCATATACCTCGGTTAGTAAATGTTAATTTTTTTATATAGTTGTCACTTCTATTAAACAATGAATTTTAATGAACGTAATAGAAAACGGATAAACAAGAGAAATATTGAAGTCTTGAGTGTACATTTTTCGCTTCATTTGAAAAGGAAACTAGGAAAATATAAGAAACCTATGAATCACTTTTTACCACACAATAAGATCTTTTTAAGAACTTTTTCGAATACTACGAATGAAGATGAAAAAAAAATAATTGAGAACTTGTCATTTTTTATAAATACGCACCGTCTGTTATGATGCGATAGATAATTATTACGCACGTGTGCATGATAGAACTGCACCGACAACTCCCACTAGGGAACGAGAGTAATTATGTTCAATTTTTCATTGTACATTTAAAAAAATATTTTCATGCAATAACGAGCATCGAGAACGTGTTAATGTGGTTTTGAAAGGGACCAGAAAAGTGCTTTATTTATTCATCTGATCCCTGTTGTAGCTTTTCTTTTTTATATATTAATTAAGTTTTCGGTAAATTTTTTTTTGTAATAACTATTGTATCATTAAGTGAAATGTTTCTTAATTTGCAGTTTTATGTTGAATACACATGAGTAACAATATATATTATGAATGTAAGAATTTTCCGCGATACAATATTGCAGTTTGACTAATGAGGATGCCACCGGAGTCACTGTTGAATTGAAATTTCATCAAAGACTAGTGATTATTTTATACGCCAGTATGGTGAAAAGTGATAATGTTAATTTAGAGTTTGATATGCACCCAATACTTAGTGTCGCCCTAAAACCTCTTTAATTTATAGTCTATTATTATAGCTGTACTGACTGACAAGAAGTGTAAGTCCTTCCAGAAATACAAAAAATAAATGGACTTGTCGATTTTGTATTAAAATGAAAGTGTCGAATATACTTCTCCTTGCTTTTTTTACTGTCTACTAAAAATGTATAATCTTTTCGAAATGGAATCACATACCCTAAAAATTATCTTTATGACAACGAACTCATATGACATATAAGTAATAAATAATTACGAACGCTTGTGTGTTATGGGAAAATATTGTCAGTCCACGCAAAAAATAATAAAGCAAACATTGATTTGCAATAACTTTTGTTATTCAATGCAATGCAGTGTTGGATCTTTGTGAATGATCAAACAATAATAAAGTAAGAGAAACGTATGTACATATTAATCATGTAAGTTTAGCGTAAGTTTTATTACTTTTGTTGATTACATTCGTGAAAGTGAATAATCATCACATAATATTATTGTCACATTGTTAGAATGAGAGTAATGAATCTCTTAAAAATTTACTATCGTTGAATACGTTAGCATGATTTAGATAGGATCCAAAATTGCTTAATATTTGCATTTTTACGTACATGCAGATGACGATATTCAGAGTTCAATTGGATGTATTCACAGTCAATTTTGGAACCTAACTACAAAGTCATATTAAATCATTTGTACGATGTAATACAATTAAAAAATCTCAATGATTACATCATTTAAAATTTTATTTTAACGTCATTCATAGATATTAATTTTATCAATGGCGATTATACGATCAAGTAATAAGCATCAATGACTATACTAGAGATTGACCATATCGAACTGTTTCATCTAGCAATCGTAGAAGAGGAAATGTTTGTTAATGAAAAATTCACTAAATGAGCTTAACAGTACTGGTTGAGCAACCATTTCAGTACCCCCCATAAAGTACGTACAAAATTTTGTTGAATAAAATGTCATCGCTTTTATAGTTAGTCTAGAAATAAAATGTTATTTTACTGAATGGATTTTGTTTATAAATTTATTTAAATTCATTTTTTCACATTTTTCAATCCAAACAAATGCGAAACAAATGTAAAAAGAACACTATGATAAAATGAAAAACATATCAATACAAAATCATATAAAAATATAATTAAACAAAAATATATTCATTTTTGTTTCTAATTTTTTTTAGTTATATGAACTTTTTGAACGAATAATAAATTTAGCTTTATATTTCAATTAATTACATTTATTATTTGACCAACATCGAATTCAACATTTTGCTTTGAAGCTGGAAATATTTTTCTTTGGCACTAATTTTGCAGGTGTGTGCAAATGTTTAGGAGTCCAGTGTATTATTTATAAACAAACAATAGTCAACTGTAATGACTAAATATAATGCAAATAATTGCATCCTTTGCTCTAAAACATTCAACATTCAATGAAAAGTTCGCCGTTTTTAATTTGAAAAATTTAACGGATCGGCTTTTTTTACTGTCTTGGAGATAATTTAAATTTGAATAATTTATGATGCAGTATAGAATAGTCTGATTATTATATCGATTTTTTTTGTTTCACGTAATTACATAAAAATTTGTTTACCTGATGAAAATTTTTGTTACATATTATTACAGATTAAACATAAATAAATAATTTTAAATTTCATGCAATATTAAACGAAATGAATAATGATTATAAATCTTGTTACTGGTTAATTGTTATAATTAATCACGCCGATTGATACTCGTTTGCGCGTCAAAACCGTACGCATATAATAGCTCAAATATTCTCGATGACGATTGTAATTTCTATGTTCAATGGTTTATTATGTAATTTCTATTGTTTCAATGATTCATCTGCCTGGAATTTTAAATTATTACCATTTTAACTAACTTCTCAGTTTCGTGTTTTTTTGCGTGAAATTCATGAGCTATCCTCAATTCAGTGAAGATATTATATCTTTTATCGATAGAATTTAAAAATACAAGCCATTTGCCAAATCAACGGGTACCTTATATAAAAATATAAAAATTGTCGGATAAAAGAAGCCAGCCCGGAAGGACGTTTGAAGGTCAACTCTTCTGCGAGAATAAACGCAATCAGGTTCGAAATCGAGAATGTATCCTACAGAAATGTACTATCTGGATCTGAAAATAATTATTTTCTATATATACATTTATAAATACCATTATCACAATGAGTACAATACAAAATTATAGTACAAATTCTGCTAAACAAGTCCTTCAGTTAGGTAATTCTGTTACACTCATACCACTATTTGTAATAAGCATAAAATAATTCATAACGAGTTTGCACCACAACTGGAAAAGAAAAGAGAATATTTAGTGAGATCGGATAAACTTGCTACGATTGTACACAATCATAATTTACAAAAGTAAAAAAATATTTATATTGAATAATAATTCTTCATCTGCAAATAGTAATATTATTACTATAGATGATAATGTTGAAATCAGAACAATGATAAAGAAAGGTAAAAATTCGATTGCATGTGAGATAGAAAACTTTTAATTATTTTCAGTATATAATTTAAAGAATAACGCAAAAGCAATGTAGTTTTACACTGGTTTCAAAAATTATGATAGATTCATGAGAGTCTTTGAAACTCTGGGTCCTGATAAATATAACTTGAAATACTGTGACAATAATAAATCAGTGATTTTATCATAGTTAGACCAATTTCTAATAGTATTAATTCTGTTGAAACAGCATAAGTTTCATTACGAAATAAGCATTATGTTCAATGTAACATTGAGAGATATCAAAAATATTTTTATTACATAGATACAATTCATGTGAATAGAATGGAATCGTATTAAGATTGAAGAATTACAGAAATTGCATGAAAAGAAAACAATAGCATACAAACAAGTAAAAAGGCTTTGTATTCTAATAATCAAAATTGTACGGGAATGCTGAAAATGATAATCCAAATTACGCTGACAGTTGAAAAAATGTACTAAATATTTTTCAATGGACCTGCTAACTATATTGAATCGCATTTAGTAAAAGTTATACAATTTATTTGTGGAAAATTATATTACTTCACAGAAATCAGTAATAATACACTCATTATATTAAAACAACCAGCAAAAAAAATTAATTTATAATAATACAGATATTTTAAGGACTAATGAGACTCCCTGCGTTTTTATTATGGAAAAGAAGTAACTTTAGTAGAGTAAATGTAAAAGTACGTAATTTCAATTCAAGTATTCAAGTTTTTACCGCTATACGATTTTCACTGCCATCTAGAAGAGAATTTTTGAACTAGATAAGTAACTAG